CTGTGACGTCACACGATATTTCAAATTAAACTGTCAAACACCAAGCGGTCACCGGTGACCGCAACCTATTGTTCTATAATTGTGTCTACAAAACCGGTACTCGACGAGTTAATATATCGTCGAAAGTATTTAATTTTGTTAGAAAATAAAAAATACGTGTCTAAAGTTTTAAATTAATCTACCAGACGGACATTAAAATAAAATTTAGGAAACTATATTATTTCTTTTATTGATTCGGACTCAGAATCGATAACCGAGTTACCTCCTAGAAAATGACGCGGCTTTAAAACAACACCTTGTTTAGGTATTTGGTTGTTAGATGAGTAATCTGATGGTGTCGGGTATTTCGTGGTGGATCTGACACACGTGTAGTTACAGAAGGCACAGTAGGAAAATCACAAGCACAGCACAGAGATAGCGAGAAGACAGTCAGTATTAGAAGTAGTAAGGAATAGATAGAAGATATTTGGGATAGAATTAGTGTAGTTTTTACAGCTTTAAGCAAGTGAAAGAATTATCTATGCGCGTCGTAGCAAAAATCTCGGCAAGACTGGTTTTACAGATATGCGCACACGCATCGGTAGCTATCGATAGTTATAACTATATTGGTAATTAGTGATGAGGGCTCTGTCGATAGGATTACAGTTATCGACTATCGATGGAATTTTTATCGACCAACTGGTAAGGGAGTATTATTGTATTCCGTACAAAATGTAAATATGTATATAAATGAAATTAATAACTACACAAATATTTACAACTTAAAATTAACTACAACTAAACTATTAAATAAAACGAAAGTAAAAAAGAATACAACAAAAATTGTACCCTTAATTTAGGCGTCAAAGTATTCGTCCACATCACTATCACAGGGGAACGTTACCAGGAGACTGGCAGCATTGCCACGTTGAATGGCAATGCTTATTTTCTGTCCGAAGAAAAAGCCAGCCCTCTGGTCACGCGTAGAGTCGATTAGCCTACGGGCGATATCTTTAAACACAGAGTGTGCACTGGGACCCCATGGCCCAAGTGTTTCGACCCCAAACGGCTCAAAACAGTAGTTACCCACTAGATTTGAATATTTACGCCGTTTGAGGGCCTCTGCCGCAGAAGCAGCTGCACCAACGCATGCAGCGGTGCTTAAAAGATGTGACGTCGCGTCCCACACCAAAGGCCTACCCATCTTCCGGTGTACCAGCCGTATTAGAACCTAATGGTTTGGTACGTGATGACGGCAAAAGACCAGATTGTATATAAATGTATGTGTGTACATTTGTTAGTGTAATTGTGGTAGTTTTTAGGTTCATTTTCAGATGTAAATAGATTGCATAGTTTGTACAGTTACCTACAGGTACTTACTTTAAAACTATTTCCACATATATGACAGTAGGCTAGTTTTATAGGCGTAGGGTTAGTATGTGATCTTATGTGTCGAACTAAAGACTTTCTGTTCGTATATCGAGCACTGCACGTTGAACAACTGAAGTCTTTGCTGGTTGAATGCACGGCCGAAATGTGTGAAGCCAAAGATTTCTCATTTGGACACGTCCTATTGCAGATTGGACATTCAAATCTGAAAAAAAGGATTTTTTTTTATGACATAGGCCGGTAAACGAGCAGACGGATCGCCTGAAGCAATTTCAGTCGCTCGTGGACACCTGGAATATCAGGGGCGTTACAAGTGCGTTACCGGCCTTTTGGGAATTAGGAATTTGAAGGTTGTCGCGGGTTCGGGGAGTGAGGAGTCTGGGAAGGGGGGATAATTGGGCCTCTTGTAACCTCACTCACACGACGAAACACAACGCAAGCGTTGCTTCACGTCGGTTTTCTGCTCGTTCGTGGTATCACTCCGGTCGACTCGGCCAACGAGGCAGTCTTAACTGAACATAAAGTTCTAATAAAAATAAGGCTTATGCATAGCAGGCATAGCATTCATGGGAATGTCTT